GGAGCTGTCCTAAACTTTCAGGAAATTCCAACTCCAACCCCAGCAAGTGAACTAGCATCAGGGAGGCATTGTATACATTCACCAATAACAGGTCCAGTGAAGGTGACTCCAGATAGAAACATCTACCAACTAACTGATCCAATATCAGAGCAGGCATCCTACCACCATGAGCTAGCTGGGACTGGACAAAGTAAGCTTGTAGTGCTTATACCCTAACAGCTAAAATAAGGGGAATTCTTTGAAGGGAGAATTTGAAGAGTCACAGAGAATGGCTATTAAAAGCTCCATTCCGACCCTCTCTAAACTATCCCCATTTAAGTGGGGAAGCAAATTAGCCTCAATAGGCATTTCTATCTAGCAGGGGGCTGGGAGAGAAGAGCCACATTGGAACACTTAAGGTCTCCAATATGCCCATCCATAAATCATCTCAGGGCAAAGCTGTCACTCCGTATCTTCTACTTTGCCTTTTAAATGGATGGGACCCCAGCATCCCTCTCCCCTCACGGTGGTGAGCAAGGGTTTGAGATACATGGAGAACAAAGAATGGTTAAGTTCCTTTTCCCCTACTGAGGACAGGTGTAGTAGCAATATCTGCATTGACAGCGTGGCTTACTTTAAAATACCAAATTGCAAACAGGTAGACTGAATGATTATGTGCGTGAGTCCCTAAACCCACACGAAGATGTGTCTATTAAAAGAACATAAAAATGAATCTATTACAGAAAGGCTAAGTGTGTGATTGATGGCATTCACATGTGCTCTCATTTTTAAAGCCACATGTATTTAGTGACTACATCTTTATAAAGAAAGTCTTCAGAATCAGGGCAGTTCTGATTTTTTTTTTCTCTACCAAGACACTGTTTCAAATAAAGAAATAGATTTACAATAACTGACGAACACACAAATCACATTAAAAAAAAAAAAAAGCCAGCTATTTTATCCTTTCAACGTGGTTACCAAGGCTCCTTTGTGTCTACAAATTTCTCAGGGTGGTGCTGTTGCCAAGAAATTCTAATTCACGATAAGGTTTTCTGCAAATCGGGACAGTGGCAAACCTGTGGATGGTCAGATCCTGCAGTTTGCTTTGTCTTGCTGTTTGAAAGAGCACCTGGCTGCCCAGGCCTGTGCGAGGCAAGATCACACAGCGGCAACGTGGCTCACAGACCAAATCCCAGCTCCCTCCGGTACCATGAGGCTGTTCTTGGAAGGCAACCATTTCTGTAGGTTTTCCCCCTAGAGATGTCTCCTACCAAAAGCCCTCATAAAAAGTGTTTCAGGACGCCTGAAACCAAGATGAAATTGCAGAGTTATGGGGACACTTTAGTCCTTACAGAAGCCAAGTATGCCATTAGTTTAAAACAATGAGGGAATGGAGGAGGAGGGAAGAATGTTCTATGATTTATTTATTTGTTTCCAGTAGCAGTGGAAAATTTTCTCCAAGCAAAAGGGAGGCCTGAAATTGACCCCATTTGCCAATTATGAATCAGCATTAACAATGAGCATAATTCCATAAGAGTTTTCAAGTAAACATGCCATGTTTCTCAATGACATGTAGCAAAGTTAAGTGCAAAGAATACTCCTTGTGATTACTTGGACTGTCCTCATGAAACAGCATGCCGGGAATAAAGAATCTATAAAAATTCTAAGTCCCTGCAGAGTCTGGAAGAAAATGGAAGGTGTCATATGAAATGCTTATTTTCTGAGTCAGCAGCCAGTTCAAAGAGTCCGACTCCTCTCGTGACTTTACGAATGTACCCCACTTTACCATCAAATGGTACCCTAAAACCTACTCTAGCATCCGTCCTAGCCTGGACTGTTTTCAACTTTTGTTCAAACAGCTTTTGAAATATTTCCTGCAAGTTTTCAGAGAGCTGAAGGCTGGTAGCCTTCAGAGGTATGTCAGCTGAATCCCATAAAATAACAGAGCACAGAAGCATGGTGCGATTTACAGTTACATGACAGGCAGAAATGATCTTACTGGGGCCAGTGTTTCAGCACACAGTTAGGGTCCAGAGATGCAGAGCTGTTCGGCTGGAATGTCCACCTGGGTTTTTAATTACACCAACAACAATTTGGGGAGTCGGAACGCTGGTTGAATATCACTGCCTAAGAATCCATGTCAAAGTGACAGAAGATAGTCCTATCTGTCACAATCAATGTCTTTGTCACAGGCTCAATGACACAGGAAACTATCCCATAGCCTAAGTTCGAAGCAAAGTCGACAAATAGCCCCTCCTCAATTTGCCGATGTGCAGATAGATGTTCTTGGGTTTATCATCCAAAACCATTCTCTAGAAACCAAATTAGATTATCAGGAGCTCCATTTTCCCCCAGCACGTCCCCGAGGCCAGGTATATTACTCACTTTAAGAACAACATCTAATAATAATTCCTCATTTGACCTCTAAAATCTGATTACCCCACAGCATCATCGGGACACTTCCTCCTGCCTGGGGTTTTTGTAGCAACCTTCTTGAGCTGTTTTGAGCAAAGGAGTCTCAAAATTTCACCATCTGGTTAATTGTGAACTAACAGTTGCATAAAACCACCACTACACCACTACCCCTCAGACTCAGAAGCAAGGGGGTATGGGGAAGGGGAGGAAGGAAGAGATAAAGGCTAAAGGTTTTGTCATCAGCATGAACTCAGGTCCTGGTTACCTTTATACAGAGCAGCTGTGCAGAGTCCCAAGCAGAGAACTCCTGGCTGTGGTACCTTGTTTACAAGTGTTTGCCCACAAGTTATGTTTCCATGTGGACTTGGAGAAGGGTTTTAAGATGGCAGTTGGAGACAGTTGAGGCAAGGAATAAGAAAGAGGACGGGAAGTGAGAATTCCTTTGCCGGGTGATTAAAAAAAAAAAAAAAAAAACAAAACTAAGCTAGAGGTTTCTAGAAGGGGGAGGAGGGAGGGGAGGGGGAGGAAGGGGAGAGGAAGAGCAGAGCTGGCTTCTGAAGAAACAATAGATCTAATACATCCCCTAATTGTCAAGCCAATGATGTTTCCTTGAAGCTGTACCTTCTGGATTCTCTAGGCCGATCTAGAAAAGCAGGTTTCCTCTAAAGAGCCCACCCCACCCCCCACCCCAGGAGCAGGCTTTACTACCTTGAAAACTTGAACCAAAACAAAGTTGTGTGATTCATCTGCAGGGAACGTTGTAACAAATAAAGCCAACTTTCTTCCCTCCAACACTAAACAGTCACAAACAAGGGCTGCCTGGGGCAGGCTGACTAAATCAACAGATTCCCTTCCCTAACCAGTCTAGACGGTTGTTAATATGCAACTGATTCCACACCAATGGGCTGACAGTGTGAAAAGAAGGCTGTTTGGAAAATGAAATTCTGGCAACGTTTTGGCTTACTCCACACAAGCAAAATAAAAAGGAAGAAAGGGGATGTAGTGAGATCCTTCCTGAGACCTAGTCTTGTTAGGAAAGGATGCGTTCAAGAAATGATGTGTCCACGGTGGCTGTGTGTTTCGCAAAGGACAGCATCCGCCACCGTCTTCCGACTGGAATGCGAGCCCTGCACAGACACAGGCCGCCAATACCTGGAGGAAAACTCACAGCTTCTAGCCAAACAAGAGCAACTAGTAACAATGACACGGTCTGAAGAGCCAGGGAGCGAGAGCTTTGCCACTGGCTCCCTATACCATGAGCTAAACATCTCTTCCTAAAACAGCAACTGTGACACCCCAGCCTCAAGCTGGCAAATCCTGCTTTGGATCCTGGCAGGGGAAACTCAGCCGTTCATTAGCCTTAACAAGCTGCTGTCACTGAGCAGAGAAGTTACAGGAGCAGCCGCACACCAAGGATGGCACACGGTCCTCCCCAAGGGCAAGTGGTTTTTCTCCTGGATGGACTGTACAAGTCCACACTCCTGGCGTTCAAATCCGGACGGTCTTCCTGGACTTTCCACCGGTGCACACCGTAGTAGAGTTTTTAAACACCCATCCTGTCCCCTCTCCCCAGCTGCCCCGCCCCCACGACCACCATCTTTCCTGCAGAATGTCCCTTCAGCAGCTCCTAATCGCTGCTGGAAAAACCACCGTTTCCGCAGCAGACCCAGCACTTTCCACTGACCAGCACTTTTTTTTTTTTTTAATTCCACTTCACAAAGCCCAATGAACTTGTCCCCAGTCAGGCTTCAACCTCCCTTCGATGCCAAGCCAACTTGGCACCAGTACCCTTCAGCATCCTAGGAGTTTCTTAACTAGTCCTCTAAGACAGAGTCAGAAGCAGGGAAGCACACACCACCCCTTTGTCCAAGGTAGTGCTAACCTGAGAGGCACCTCAAACAAAAAAAGAAAAACAAGGACACAGTATTGGCTGCTCTTTCTGGAGGCGTTAGCTGGGGAACCTACAATGTAAATGCATTGTCAGCCTAAGACAGATACATCTTCCCATCTTCCTTGTACATATACTTAAGCCAGGAAGCATCTTTTGTCACCTGGCTTCTCTTCCTACATACAGCTCACCTTCCAATCTAAAAAATCAAGCTCCTGTTCTTTATTGACACTCGCTAAAAAACTGGGGAAAACACTCCGTCCACCCCCTCCCCCTCGCAACTGACGGTCCTCAGCACCAGTTGAAATAGATGAACCCGATTAAGTACCAAAAAGGTCAGAACTCCTGAATTTAGGAACGTGGCATCCTGTCAACCATTGCTCAACTACCTTCCCACCCGGCTCCTCTAAACCCCAGAAGTTCGCCAGCAGGTCTCTGCTGGGGGACAGTGAGCCCGACAACGTGTGCGCAAGGATGTGTGTTGGTGACAGAAACGCAGGCAGCTAGGACCGGTTCAGCTCAGCACACTAAGGGGCTTGGGGTGGGTGGAGAGGTAAGCGCATATGATTGTTTCAGAAAACATTTTAAACAACACACAGACAAAAAAATAAGTAAGAATATAAGAAAAAATAAAAATTCAACTCAAAGCCCACACCAACGCAGCCCCTGCGTCTCCGCCGCCGCAACACGATTTACACAAGTAATTTAAATCATTCACCTGCTGCCAGGTCTCCTCCAGGGATGGCAAAGCTGAGAAGTAGCCGGTGTCGTGGACAAGTTGTAGCTCCTGGAATATACTATAACTAGCCAACACGTCCATGCTGCTGCTGCCGGGCAAAACCGGAGGAGAAACCCTCCCCCGAGCTCAGCTGGGTCTGTTTGTTTGTCAGTCTGTCTGGCTCACCCCCCAAGAAGGCAGACATCCAGTGGCCCTTTTGTTTTGTTTTGTTTCAGTCAACTAAAAAAAGGAGAGAAAAAAAAAAATCAATGCAGGAGAGAGAGAGAGGAGGTGAGAGAGGAGCGAGTGAGTGGGGTGGATGGAGAGAGGGATCCAGCGTGTACAGTGCAGATGACTGCCAGGAAAAGGGGACTTCACGGGAGTAACAATTCCCTTCCAGGGCTCTAATCACTCCAGCTCGTGGATCAGGCAGGGGGACGCAAACTCACTGACACGAAGCTGCCATCTATATCTGCAGCGCTGTTCGCTCCTAATGCAATCTTTGCTCTTTATTTTGGGAGGTTGCATTTTTTTTTCTCGCGATCGCTTCTCTCCCTCCCCCCCCCCCCCACCCCTTCCCTTCCCTTCCCTCCCCACCCCCCACCCCATCCTCGCTAGTTTGTAGTCCCCCCGCCCCCCCCTCTCTTGTCTCCTCCTCCTGCTCTTCCCCCCTCCCCAAACTCCCTCCCTCCACGCGGCTCTGCGCGCAGCCGTGGGATCTCGGAGGAGGGCGTCCATTAGGCCGCGTGTGACCATGTAAGGTAAACAGGGGGCTCATGAAGTCACTGAGGACCAATGCGGCACTCGGAACGGGCCCTGGGGCGGGGCCTGGCCCCGACGGCGGCCTCCGATTGGCGCGCTGCGGATCTCCCTGCTGCCTTACAAGGCGGTGCGAGGCAAGCTATTTTTAGAGGGCTATATAAGGGGGCTGAGGCGGCCGCCGGGCGGCCGGGGAGCTCGAGCGCGCCGGGGAGGGCCGCTGCGACACTAGCGCTGGCTCCCGGGACGCCGGAGCGACCCGGCTCGGGCTGCGCGCTGGCCTCCGACCCTCGCTGCGGGGCTCTCCCGAGCCGCCGCTGCCCGGACCCCGTGCGGATCCGAGGGGAACGGGTCGCCGCGGTGGCCGATCGGGAGGTGCGATCCCCGGTGCTGGGTTGGGATGCCTCCTGCGGGAGCAGCCGGTTGAGCGGCGGCGCAGCCGTCGGGGGCAAGAGGCTCTTGGCACTCGGCCTGCCCCCTCTGCCAAGCATGGGGAAGGAGGGCAGCGAGGGAGAGGCCAAGCTCAGGACAGCGTCACCTACCCAAAAGTAAACCCCAAAAAGCCCCTTCCGAATTCCCCATAGGGTGCAGAAATGCAGCGCCAGAAGAGGAAGTGCCTCACAATGGCAGAGAACAAAGGCGAGCTGCTCCGAGACGCGGCCTGCGCCCGCCCCCGACGCCGCACGCTGTCCCCGCCCCGGCCCGCGCGTCTCCGTGCGCGCCGCCGATCGCCGATCGCCTACCGCCCTCCGGTTCCTCTGACCCGAACCATAGACCTAGCTTGGGAACTGGTGCCCAGCATCCTTGAGTGTGCGTGAAAGAGAATAGAGGGAGCCTGGGTAGAATGAGGGTGCAGGTTGGAGCGGGAAGCTAGCTAGCGGATCCTTACACCAGGTTTATCCAGTAGCTTCCTGGGGTCGTGCAGACAGAGCTGGGATGGTGCAGGGCTCTAGAGATGTCGAGATGCTGCAAACTCTGAGATGGAAACCTGCGCAGTCCACGTGGTTAAGAGTTGCCCAGCTGCTTGACCTTAAATGGCTAGTGTTGTGCAAGCTTATCCAAAATACACCGAAAGCTGGACTACTTTCGGAATGACTGCAGAATCCGGTACTTAGAGACAAGGAACTTGTACCTTCAATGGAAGAACACAATGTCACCGACTCCATACCTTTCCCATCCGTTGATAACAATATTGACTTTGTTCTGTAAAACAAAAGTTCCCCATTCTCCAAAGCAAATTAAACAAATTATAAGACTGAAAAAAAAGCTGGTTTATTTACCCTTCAGTGCCTGAGATTCTACTGGTCAGAGTAACAAAATTAATTGTATAATTGATGTCTTGTTTGCAAGAACGCTGATTGGCCGCATGACTTGAGCAAATGGCAGAGTCAGGCTTCTGCCTACCCATCACGGGAGCAAGAATGCAAATCTCTGCCTTGATTTGTCAGAAAAGACAAAATACTGTTTGCAATTCACCTAGCATAGTATGTGACCATTAGAGGTACTAAATGTTAGCTGTCACTGTCTCCAGACTTGAAGTAAGGAAATTAAATAGTATCTGAACTAATAGGCTCCATAGGGAACAGACCAGGGTCTTGAAAAAGAATGCAAGGTAGCAAGCCCTTACATTAATTTGATAGGAGACGTCACACTACCCACTCTTCCTCCAACACTATCTGTTTGTAGGGCTTGGGCAGAAATCCATTGAGAGATTCTAGGCCAGAAGATGTATTCATGAGGAATAAGAGAAGAAAAGGAACTTGGATACAGGAGGCAGACATCAAGGCATGATCACATAATTTGCTGTTTAAGGCTCAAGGGAATTTAATTTTTGTATTTTTACTATTACCAGTTTTGTTGGTTTGGTTTGGTTTTTTCAAGACAGAGTTTCTCTGTAGCCTTGGCTGTCCTGGAACTCACTCTGTAGACCAGGCTGGCCTTGAACTCAGAGATCTGCCTGGCTCTACCTCCTGAGTGCTGGGATTAAAGATGTGCTCCACCACACCCAGTTTATTACTGTTTTTGAACAAAATATATCTTAACTTTTGGGTTTGAAGATTTTGTAAATAGCTATTACGCATTATGCTCTATGTGCGTAATATCTCCTTTGACCTTCAGAACCCCAACATAGGAATTCTCATTATTCTAACTTAATAGATGAAGATCTCCAGGCTTAGTATATAAGTGGACCATGGTCAGATAGGCAGGAAGTGACCTGGCAGAGCTTCAAGTCCATGAGTGCCTGACGTATAACACTTCTGCATGAGGCTCTGCTTGGCAAAACATTGGGTTTCTTGGTTTTAGGTTAAGACGTGTTTATAAAAATTGCCCTAGCAGGTTGGAGGTTTGCCACTGATGCTTTCTCCATGGAACTTTCAGACACCCAACCTACAAAAACATGTTCCACAAAGTTGTACAAAGTAAATCTTACAAATAGCATTTTGAGTTCTATTTCAAAGTATTATAGTGTTATGCCCAGATTGGGACCCCAAAGATACCATCACAGACCTTAGGTACAGAATGCAAAAGCATGGTTTACTTCTGTTTGTTTACAAGCTGCAGGCAGGGAAGCTCGATCCAATGCACTCACTCGTAGTAACCGTGAAGCCAGGAGGAACTTGCTTTTTCTTTGTGTGGCTAGCTTTTTAAAGGCAAAATCCACAAGCCCTTCAGGGGGTTGGGGGAGTTTTGCACGGGTGCAACTCGGATTGGTTTATTTTTATCTCTGTTCTCTTTTAATTGGGTGAGGGTATGTAACCTTTGAATTTACTGGTTGGTGGTTACAATTTATTACTTTGGGGGCAGTCCAGCACAAGTCCCAGGCTTTGTCCTTGAGCCACCATGGGGGCTGGCTGGCCAAGCATGTACTGCACATAACTCTAAGTTGGTGAGGGGCCCCAGAGAGTAAATATATGGCTGAACTTTGAGCAGTCAGAGTACGTGCAGAAAGGGAACTACTGCAAGGACTATGTCTTTTGTTCATGGCCCTCCCAGAAACTGCTTGCTCAAGTCTCAGGAAACTGAAATTGAGGCCTGATCTCTGAGAGAAGACTGAGCAGCCTGTTATGGCATCTGCTTGGTCCTTTCAATAGGATATTCCAGAATTCATTCTAAGAGATGTATGCAACGAAGTACTCCAAAAGGGATGCTTTCAACATTCATCATATTTAGATTAATTTTTTAATTTTTAATTAAATTTACTTCCCTTTCCTCCCTACAGATCCTCCCATGTCCCCTTTCCCTCCCTCTCAAATTCATGGCCTCTTTTTTCTTTGTTATTGTTACCTTTATATATTTACATATGTATACATATATACATGTATATATGTATACATATGTAAATATATATGTATATGTATATACATATATGTCATAAATACATGACATATATTTTTATATGTCTAAATATATAAATAGAACCTGCTCAGTCCATTTAGTGTTGCTTGTATGTATATGATTTTAGAGCTGAGCAATTGGGATTGACTAACTAACAGAAAACTGGTTCCTGGAGACATTTCTCTCTTTCAGCATTCTTTGTCTAGGGGCAGGGGGCCCTGTGAGATTTTCCCCTTCCCTGTTGGCATGCCTTTGGTATTATGCTTGTTCAAGTCTTGAGGTTTCATGGGCGATGCTCCCTGTCATTTCTAGGAGACACAACCTCACAGCAGACTTCCTGGTCCTCTGGCTCTTACAGTCTTTCTGCCCTTCTTCCTTGATGTTTCCTGAGCCTTAAGTGTGGGAGCTTTGTTGTAGATACAGCAACTGAGGCTGGGCATCTCGAGATTCCTTGTTCTCTGAGTTTTGACAAGTTGTGGTTTTCTGTTATGGTATCTGTCTATTAAGAACAGACATTCCTGTGATGAGGGGTGAGAGCTATACTCACCTGTGGGTGTAAGGATAAGTTGGCCCAATAAAGCAGCAGTCAGAGGCTCGCACTGAAGTTCCATGACCTTACTAGCCCTGAGTAGTTGACTAGGTTTCCAGTACCAGGCATGAGTTCCTCCTGTTAAGGGACCTTAAGTCCAATTAGAGAGCTGTTGGTTACCACCAAGCTGAGTACCACTGGGGTTACCACACCATGGTGGTTGTTGTGGCTATAGGCATCCCAGCTAGGTAGGGTTGCTTCCCTCTCTTGAACACTTGCATAGTGCTTTCTGGTGCTTTGAAAACTAGTCCTCAGGGAGGAGTCTTTCAGATGAGATCTAGCTTGAGTCCTCTGGGTCCAACCTCTGAAGTGTGTTTTCAGCAATAGGGGCCTACCATCAACCTCCGAGAGGCAACCAAGGTCAACAGAAATAACCTATATTGTTTTGGGAGTCTCTTGGACTCTGCGGACAGACAACTCACAATGGGCTTCCTTGTGTATTGGGGTTTTGTTAGGTATTTTTTTTAATAGCCTAGAAATCTTAGTTTCACATTGCAAGAACACATGTTAAGTATCCCAATATGCAAAATAATCAACAATAAGATCACAAGGGAACAAAAATAATCTGCACTTTGATGACTCCCATACTGAATGCCTTTTCAGTATCTGACATCTGACAGTTGTTCATGTCAAGTCTTTACCGCTGTGGTGTGTTGATCTGTTTAAAGACACTGAAGTTCAGAGAATGCATGTATTTTGCTCATTGTTTCTTGTCTATTAAGTACCAGAAGCAAATTCAGATATAGATATCCCTCCAAGTTGACTCCAAAATCTGTCTCCTATGTAAACATTGTCTTGGGGAACACTGATGATAGTATTTCCAATAATAATGGCCAGGTGTGGTGGTGTTTACCTTTAATTTCAACATTTGGGAGGTAGAGGTAGCCGAACCTCTGTGTGTTCGGGCTAGCCAGCGTGAGACCCTGCCTTAAATAAACAAATAAATAAAATACTTTGGAAGTGATACCAGAGGGAATACCCAAGAGTAAATAATATTAACCCATGAATTCAGAAATGAGAATATTTTAATAAATAATAAAATTTTTATACATGAGGCTGGAGAGATGGCTCAGTGGT